GTAATCTAAAATATCCAGTAAGCGCTATAGGCACATTATTAACAGTTCGAAAATGCTTATTATTTCTTAACGTCCTAGCTAGGTGTGTCAGTATCCAACTCGCATAGACACAAGAATATGTCAGGTACTTACAGGCCAGACGAGCTTGGCAAGGCAAACACTCTGTTTCCGGATATTTGTTTTTTTGATATTGGTATCCCATTAGCAATGGCCAAGCTGACAATTAAACAATTGTATCTAAGTATAGCTAAACAAACTTTGTCGAGTGAAAACTCTTGTCAAATCTCAAGATCGACCTGACGCAAAATGGACACAAAACGAACAAGTTAGTTGCTTCACCGTAACCAATATTACAATATAGGTGCTGAGACATCAATCTGTACTTAGAAATATGCTATGTGACTGGGTCTATCTTATAACGACTTTTGCTCTAAAAAAGGATATTCGTGGAAAAAATTATATTGATCACTCCAGAATTGGATATACCTGTGTAACAAACCGATACTTCAGATTCATCATATTATACAATATTATACATATATATGAATAGAGATGTCAGTATCCATATATTACACATTATACCAATACACATTGATATATATATGCCTTATGAACTTATGAATATGAACTTATTCGTTCTTTTCTTGAATTCCCGCGCTTATCTAATCGGCAATTTTTTTTCACGCTGGCAACACTATTATACACATTCTGTCAAAGTTTAACGCATATCGTATAAATAGTTTTTGTTTGGCGTCTATATAAAGAACTCGAAAAATGTTTGTCGATTTTTAGCTGAATTTCATTTAAAAAAAGCGTCGTTGTGGTGTGATCAGAGATATAATTTTTAACGCAGATAAAATTTGAGTTTGACTATGAATTTGACATACCCACCAAACAACAATCGACCGAATGGTGCTTCGAAGGTGTGCCAAAACCGAAAAGAAAACGCCAAAGTCAGTCCAAAATCAAGGTTATGCTGACTGTTTTCTTCGATATTCGTGGTGTGGTGCACTATGAATTCCTTCCGGACAGTCAAATGGTCAAACGGTAAATAAGAAGTATTATTTTACCGTTATGCGTCGTTTGCGTGGAAGGAAAACTCATGGATTTTACACCACAATAACGCAGCGTAGGTTCACACAGCTTTGGTTGTGTCGCAGTTTTTTGCCAAAAACTCCACCAATAGCATCAATCAAGCACCGTACTCTCCAGATATGGCCCCGTGTGACTTTTTCCTCTTTCCCTAACTCAAATTGCCATTGCGAGGAACGCGTTTTGAGACCATAGAGGCTATATCTTCGGCCTATAAAACTTGTATGGTAAATTGAATCAAGCATTGGCATGCATGTATTGCCGCAGGAGGAGAGTACTTTGAAGGGATAATAAAAAAAATTATTAAAAATTAAAATTTTGTGTGTTTTTTTAACTTCTCGTTCTTTTTTGATCAAATGGTATATATATTTTTATTTCATATTTCTATTACTTTATTTTATTTCTTTACAAACTACTTAATCACACCACTCAACCTTGTCATCAATAAAAGAAATAAAATATCAAGTGACATGAAATGAATTCCATTGCATAAATGTAATAAGAAATAGGTCCATTTTGCTTGAAATAGGCGTTTCCATTAGGACTTTGTCAAAGATATTATTAGGTAATAAAATGATATGAGTCACCATTTTTCTTTGGAACTAGTTTAAAATCTAGTTTATTTAGTTTTCTACCTGTCTTATATTTTACTTACGAAAAATTTGCATATTAACTGATATGTATTGTGTGTTACATAAAATCTATATATTCCTACCCAATAACCTAAATGTTTTATGGTATATGATATACAGATACTCTTAAACAATTTTTATTGTTCTATACTGTATTATATAAAAAAAAATTTCAAACCTTATTTTTTACTTTTATTGGCAATACAAATCACCCATCCGCAATAAAATATTATACCTATGTAACTCATCCCCTAATATTAAATATGCATCAATAAATGCATACACAATTTCTTTATTTAAAAACACAAACAAAATACATGCAATACAAATGCAAGCAAAATATTGTCTTCTTCTTATGCACACGAAGCAACAACAATGCACATTAAAAACGTTTCGAAATCGTTTTTACCTTCGTGAAAATTATCCTTTTTTTTTTTAATGTACTGTTCGTTTAGTGTTTTTCTATCAAAGTTGACAAAGATACACTATGTTCGGTACTGTAGTGTTTGTTTTCGTTCACTGGTTTCGGATATAAGCAATACACTACGATACTGTACTGTTTATTTTCGTTCACTGAATTATCACCATTTTCATTTTTAAACAAATAAGTGATGTTGATAAAGTAGCTCTTTTGTCGCAAAATGTTTACCATTTGATTGGTAAACACCATGCGATTTTCCATGCGACGTGAAATCTGTATTTTAAGCTTCTTCAGACACGGTATATTTCGATATGTGCACAGCGTGAACACTCCTAATATTTAGTCTGTTTAAAATTCGGAAAGGGAAGGCAAATAAACGTGTAACAATTAATATTGTTATTTGGTGGATTTTAACCAATTCTTCAGATACGTCGTAACATAAATCTATCGAGAAGTACCCACATTTCTTTCAGCTGCTCATGTAAGTCTTGGTCAGTATAAATGAATAAAAAACTACGTTGGAAAAGATCTTAAAAAATTTATTAAGTATTTTATAATTTTGTTAAATTCAATATAAAACATAAAAATTTTTAACATAAAACATATGTTTAATATAAAAATTTAAAAACCTTGGTATTGTAAAAGTATATTGATCATTTTTTTACAAATCAGACACCTTTTTGACCTTATGATGTCCGATTTGGTTGAAATATTTTTTAATAGCTCCTTTTTTAAATAAAAAGACCCGTATCTCGGGAAAAAAATTTTATAATACAAAATTATTAATCCAATACTTGTTTATTGATGTATAATACTTTTATACATCAGTTTTAAAATTGCGCCTTGTGTCAGGTGGAATTTTTAAAATTGCGAGCATCTCCAAGAAGTATCGTTTACGATGATTCTTTTTTTGGTGTAGAATTTTGACATTTTCTAAATCTGGCTCATGGTGTGTGGAAATACAATGTGAAGCATGGGCTGTTTTGGCTTCCACACCGACCTCATTTTTTATGCTCTGTTTATGTCCAGCCATTCTTGTTTTTAATTTATTTTTTGTCGTCCCAACATATAGGTATATGTTCGCAAACGTCGTACCCGTCACCTTTGCAATTGATTTGGTGTACTTATTTTGGTTTTCACAGGAAAAAATTTGTAGTTTTTTTTCTTAGGAGAAATGAACCCATGGGGTTTTTGCCAAAATCCGTACAGTTTGTAATAGAATGACCTATATGCACTGATATTAACATATTTATTTTTTTTTTATATGTTGCATAAATAAGAATTATTTGTATAAATAAAAAAAAATATTTTCTGAATAATAAACGTAATTTATTCTATACTTTTCTCAATTAATTTTTATTTGAATTTTGCATATTTAATAAATTTCGAAAAACCTTGTTCATTGCAATAGAATTCAAAAATTTTATACCAAAAATAAACAATTAATTGAATTTAAACTGAAAATAATTTGACCTCACTGCCCTGGTGAGAGTCAGACGTATTCCACCTCGAGATAAGTAAAATGAACACATAGCACATGAAAGCTTAACTTCTTTTGGAAATTAATCAAAAGTTGAAAATCAGTTGTTATCTTTTGCTCTCAGTCGAAATTCACTTGTTCGATCTTTTAATGACGAAGAATATAAGAAAAATAATTGTTCAGAGTTACCAAACTAATGTGGTATGTATTAGAATTTTAACAAAGGACTTCGTGCTCTACTAATTGTTGAAAACATCAATTTTTCAGTTTTAAATTTCGATATTATTAATCAACTAAGCTGTCAAGTTTTCCTTATCTAAATTTTTAATAATATTTTCAATTGAGAGAACTGTTTTCTTAATATATAGAAATATAGACCTTATGATGGAATACTTCCAAAAATGGAAGATTAAAATTAATAATGACAAAACCAAGGCTATATTTATAACTCGAAAAAGAAGACAGCATCCTCCAAGAGTGAGCGTTTGTGACACGGAGATACGGTGGGAGGAAAGCATAAAATATCTGGGGGTCACATTTGGCAAACGGTTCAATTGGCTTACACATTTGAAATACAAACGGAATAGCTGCTCTAAGATTCCACATTTATTAAAGCCGCTTTTTAATAATTATCACTTCAACTTTAAAAACAAAAAGTTACTTTATACACAAGTAATTAGACCAGCACTACTGTACGGATGTGTTACATATAGCAAAGCCTCAAATACTACCTTAAAGCAATTACAGATAGCTCAAAACCTGGCTTTAAGAAGACTATTTAAAACTCCATGGTATATTAGATCAACAGACATACATAGAGATCTTAGGATTGACTCAATGAAAAAATATATCAGAGACAGAGCTTTAAAATTATTCACTAAAGTTGATATGCGACTTAACCCCGCCCTAACAATTCTCAAGTCCACTTCTGGATTCTCAGGAAGATATACTGATTTAAGGTCCGTCATCAACTAAAAGACAAATAAATGATATGATTTCTTAGCCTAGTTAAAGCCTAGTGTGGGGTAGTGATAAGCCCCCCAGCCATTATAGAGTAAAAGTGCATAATAGCACTAACTCAAGAACAAGAAGAAAAAGAAGAAGATATAATCTTAATAATAAAATTCTTTTCAAACTCCAATTACATCGGCTACTGAGATATCAAATTACAAATTATATGAGTATTATGAATAAGTTGCGAACTTACTTGTTCAAGTTAATATAATTGTTTATGTATAATTTTTTATATAAATTAAAATATAAATTTTTTTAAATTTTTTTCAGCTAATAGACATGGCAGCTCTAAAGTCAATGAAATCAACAACTCGTTTTAACGATCAGTATTGAGTTTCTTAACTTGTTTCTGTATTCACTTTCAGTTGCTTGCCGGAACTTTTACGTGTCAGTTGGGAGCTTGACGCGTTGAAATTTTAAGTAAATAAAATTAAATTGTGTTGCGCTTTAAAAAAAAAACACAACGTGCAAATTGTTTTAATACACGGTTTATTTCCTCATCGTCCATAATGCTTTTTATGACAAATAAAACGTTAATAACCTTTTGGTTAGCTATTATTTTTGTGATTCAGTGCCAAGATTCAGGTATAAAAATAAATAATTTCAACTCGTATTTGCAAAAGATAAACAAACAATTCATTTTCTTTAAAATTTACATAATTTAATTTTTTTATTCCGTTCTTACGTTATACAGCAATAAATTATTTATACATTCATCTAAATTGTACTGATTGACGCGATTCCGACTTTCCGGGCACATTGGTTTGGCAACAGATTTGAGTACAGTCAACTATTTTGAGCAACTTTTTCTACTACGCTATATGTCAATATAGCACATTTCCTGATATAATGAAGTTCAAAGTTGCACATTTTTTACATTGATAACACTAACAAGTACACAGTCATTGGGCATCAGTATTACACAAACGCGCTAGATGGCACTATATTCTGCGTCTACTTGTTTGTCGTTTTCTTGTGAAAATATCCAATTTTAGACTCTGATATCTCGAAAACAAAACTATATTGACATGCAATTTAGTAAAAACAGTTGTAAATATCTGTCTAGAATCTATCGCGAAATGGGCGTACCGGAAAAATCCGAATTGTAGCTATTATTTTCATTCATTTTATTTAAAAAAAGTTTTAAAAAAATGTTGGTAGTGAAATTTTCTTGATATCAGGATTCTTCACCCCATGCTTACTTCTATAAATTTGACGTAATAAGATAAAATATGAACGAGAAACCATTTATCTAGTTCATGCGTCTGGATTCAAAACAAGTCTATATTGATGTGTTCAAAAAGTTAGATTTTAGTGTACCAACACCACCAAGTAGGTACATAAATTCAGCATCAAAATTTCTTTATACAAATTTAGTTGTATAACGAAACACCATTTTGAAAAATAATAATCTTCAATTCAATATTAGGTCAAATAGTTAAACTGAATAAACAAATAAAACAATAAAAACACACAACCAAATATATTAGTTGTACTATTTAAGTGATTGATTCTGATGGAGTGTTTTTTATTGATTGTAGATTCTTTAAAAAATGTGTGAATAATGTTGCTTTATCATGAAAAACTTTATTTAAAATTGGAAGAGTGATCCTACATATTAAAAAAAAAATAAATACATGAATTTTTTAGGTGACATTAACCTAATCCTAGTTAGATACCAGGGGCCCTATGCTCCACGTGGAGAAGAGGACTACAGTAAGTAAGTAAGTAGGTTAAATACCACCGCACAGTAAAAAAACCTACTAAAAATATGCTATCATAATAATAACAAGAAGTGGAAAACCAACGGGATTAGAAGTGAAGAGTGTATATATTTAGGAAAGTAATCTTTGACTTGAACAATAGTGAGAAGGTATTAGATATCTTGAGACCTATTATACTTGTATATATAAACAAATGAATAATATGTATGTTCATATATAGAGAAATTTTAATTAAAAATAAAATTTCATTGTTTCACACAAACAGCTTTCAATCTGTTTTTAGAAGAATTATGATGGTTATGCTCTGTGTATGATTTTCATTAGAGATATTACAAAATCATTTATATTTGAAGATATTGAAATAAGTTTATTTTATTTAAAATAATAAATCACTTATTTCTAGTAGCTAAATAGCAAATAGAGAGCATCACTGATTTCAAATTATATTAAAGTGTAGTTCCAACATCAATTTTGCACCAAAAGTATTATAATACAAAACAAAATATTCTAGAAAATTTCTGCATTTTAAAAGATTTTTCAAATGAAGCTTTATGTCGATTAATCGTGTGAAATGGATATTAGTACTAGACTAAATCCACAAAATGCAACTCCAAATGCCTATTAAAATACCTACCAAATTTGATTGATTGTTTTATTTGGAAATTAAAATATTAAGAACTCATTGTCCTAAATTATCTTCGATGACATTGTCCGCAGATCATCCGCAATGCTTTGCACAAACAATGGCACGAACTGTGCCAAATATGCTGTACCCTATATGTCTCTTTATATGAAATCGTTACGCATGGAGGACATATCATTGAAAAAAATGTTGAATAATAATTCATAAGTAGGTGTGGAAAACTATTACATCCACAAAAACTTATTATTTGTGTCGTGCCACTTGCTACAAGTCCATGATAACCACTTTTTTTGACATGAAATGAAAGATTTGAATATGGAAATGTGGTCTCAACATATCGATGCCGGAAGCGACAAGCTACTAGCACATGTTGAATAGTAAAGTGTCCTTTTGAGATTGGTTGGTTGCCTCCGACTTACATAATTAGTAATAAGCAATTAGTCGTTTTAATACTATACTCCTGACAAAATGGCTATAGATAAATTAGATCCATTCAGTTGAATCCCATTAAAGACATTTGAATGAGATATTTCACAATATATTATACTAAAAATGTAATATATACAGGTTAAGTAATCACGTTGTATTTATGAAAACTTAAGAAATTAAATATATGGAAGAGTACCTAATAAAAGCACATAATTTGATTAGATACAAAATTAATATAGATATATTTATATATATTAATCACTAGTCAAAAAAAATAAAAGAAAGTTTGTCTCTTGAAACCGAAAAAATCTAAATCCAACTTAAACCTGTTGTTATTGGAATATATTCTTCAATGCTTATATAACAATACAGTGTCAACTATTGAACGCACCCAATAATCGTTAAAATTTTTTTAAAAATTTTTGAAAAAATTGTGTTCAAAATGAAAAAGAATTAAAATTTCTCATTAATAATTATAGAAGTGCGAGATAATTTTAATCAAGAATGGCGTTTAGTAAAAAGGAATTCTGGCATATAAGTAAAGATATTCTCAGAGTTGCAAAATCAATGTTATTCTTTTAATCTATATTAAATCACAACAGCTGATTTCAACAACGTAAACAAACTGAAACATAAGAGGTAAACATGTTTAGTTTATTTAAAACAAAAAAATTTTGCAAGGAGTTTCTACTTTAAACATGTTTAGCCAAGATATATTTGAAAAGATATTAGATATTTAAAGTGCATCTTTTTCTTGAAAAAAATATTTAAAGAAAATAATTGCTTTTTTTAAATATCTCTAATAATATTTATCTCTTCATCTCTTAAAATCTTTTTATTACTGTATATAATATTTCAATAACATATCTGTATCCTTCTCTGCCTAAATGAATATCAGTGATCTCGCTTCTGAGTATTTAATCTAATCGAATACACTTTATACAAAGATTTTTTTACTAATCTAGGCAGACGTCCATTGCTCGATGAATAATTCACTTAGGTGATGTTTCGCTCCTCTAAAATTGTCACAAATGTTTGGAAGTTCCCGGAATGCCTGACCCCAAATTGTAACAGCTCTAACCTCTATTTAGTGAGATGTGTTGTTTATTATAGAAGTAATAATATCCATCCGATATTAATCGAACGAAAATAGTTCATTATTGGTTAGTTGGTACAAAAAAAAATCTATTAAACTTCAATTTGACAGATATTGTGTTACTTGTAATGGTTAACAAAGTTTTTACCAAAACTGCGTTATTTGATCCAGATCCTATGAAAAAATAATAAAAACCCTTAGCCTAGCAATATCAATAAGTGACTAATGAAAGATTAATAGTGTTTATATTATCTAATAATATTATTATCAAAAGTTTAGTGAATTTCGCCTCACATTGCCATTATGTAATATCACTTTGTGTACGGTAGAATTAAACTTAGTCAATCAAAATTCCATATATTCTGAACCAACAGAGATGAGCTTTCTACTATATATTCAAGCACACTCTCTGCTGAATATTATTTTGCAGGAAATCGAATTAGAGTCTTTCCGTTTCTTAACCAACTTTTTTAAAATGTAGCAAGAAAATGAGTACATCTTTTGCAGGTCGAGTGCCTGAATTTAATATGTGATAACTCCGTTGTTTTTCAACCGATTTGCAATATAAATAAATCAAGTACTTATAAATACATATATATTATCATTTTATAAATTATTGCTTTGTTTGCTCAAGACCTGAAATAAATATAAAAAATAAATTGCTATTAACAAAAACTTTTTATAAGACTCCTATATTGGGAGATTATGATAAAATCATTATAGGAACATTTGAATACATTTTTTGGTAATATCAGATAGAAGTATTTTACTTTTAAAATTAACTAATTATCCCAATAGAAAATTTATTGCTTATAATTCTCTTTAAGATTAAAACATACTTAAAATTATTTTTAAAAAAGTTTATAAGGAGATCTACGGAAAGGACATTGAAATTGATCAAAACTTCTTGGATAATTAATTAAAGTTTTAGAGATACTCAAATATGTCGAAAAGTGGCGAAAAGTTAGAACCGAATTAGCGAAAATGCCAGTGGGTCAATAATGTTCAAAATACATGCACAAGAAAACAGATCAGACATAATATACAAAGAAAAATTTTAGTTCAACATATCTATTAATTCAAGTTCGGATCAGCTGGTTTTAATTTTAGTACACTATACGTTGATGGAAAAAAATTACATATTGAATTCCATTTTAAATGACATAAAAGTGATAAAATTAGGTTCAATAGATCTTCCTCGCATAGGTTTACCGTTGATTTAACCTATTTTATGATTATCCGGGACATCTCGAACAAAACATTGAAAAGTTAAAAAAACTCTTCGAAACATTCTCTATGTATCTCCAAAAATAAAATTGGGATGCCCCAAAACAGGTAAAATACGTTTTCAAAAGAGCAAAATAAAACAATGCAACTCGTTTTCTTCAATTGAAAGAAAATTTTTTATAATGAGTTCGTCTCTAAAGGTCAGGAATGATCGCAGAATATTATTGGAATTCATATTGTTCTAGAATGCTTATGTTAATAAATCGGCGATTGGGATAGGAGTATCAGAGCCAAATAGTAGGTTTTTGTTGGACAATAATACACCATCGCATATATATTCTTGACCCAAAATAGTTCTTTTGTTATTGTTCTTCCACTTTATTCATATAATATTGCCTAGTGAAACTATTAGCTATTCCTCAAACTAATATTAACGATGAAAGCAATGGTTTATCCAGCGAGGGATAAGATATTAGATTCTCTATTGAAATTATAAGCTTCCGGTGATGCATTTCAAAAACACTGCCAAAAATCCAATTTCCAGTTGGCCTCTCTTTAGCTACGTACTATACTTACCACGCCACTGAATAAAAGTGTATTATTTCAATATCAATGCAGTTGTCCAAATGACTTTGACTGACATAGCAAAGTTAAGTGATAATTATAGAAATGAAAACTTTTTTTTTGTTATCATATAGAAAGTATCTGTAAAATTCTACCAATATCAACATATAATAAATATAAAAACAGTTCAATATACCTCAATACAACTAAACATCAAACAGATATCTCAACATAAATGAAAATCAAATCAAATTTGAGGAATTATTAGATTACTCATCCAATTCATCCAAAATATATTTGGATCATTGATTGCATTTAAAGTCTTAGAAAAATAAAATTTTATTAGTACCCAACTGTCGCTGTGGTTGAAACCAGACTGAGTGTTAGGATTCAATAAAGTGAACACAATATGCCTATTTCCTACATTTATTATTGTATATTTATTATTTATACATACAAATTAAAAATTATAATAAATATTGTTATAAAAATCAGAACTTTTCCTTTAAAAAAAAAATTTTTGGACAACAGATACCTCTGGATAAAGTTAAATGTTTTTTGTTTTGTCGATATATATTTCACGTACCCAAAACCGTTTCGACAATATTTGGGAAATACTTAAATTGTTTCTTTCCTTACAACTATACAATATTTGATCGAACGGCACTAGTTAGAAGTTACCATCAGAACTTTTATTTTTATTTATTTTCTTTTAAAATCAAATCAATTGTACAAATAATAGAATCAGTATTGTGATTTGCTGTATAAACCCTGTGCAGTAACAGAAATAGATACTGCGGAAAAATATTCATATATAAGACTAACAATCTTGGGGTTTTACAAAATTCGCCTCTGGAAGAAAGCAAAAAACGAGAAAAATATCCTGGCAAACGTATTCTTTGGCAAAAACTTTGTTAATAGAATAAATTCTGCACCACAAAGGGGAAAATTTATATATTTTTTAAATTTTATATTGTTGGCATAAAAAAAATTAGAGTAATGATAAGGTTAGCAGCTACATTAAGAAGAACAGACTTTATTTAATATCTGCCCACTATATCATCATTGCATGCAAAATATCCATTAAACTTAATTGAAAAATTTCGAAAATTGGTTGAATGGTTGGTTAAATGGTTAAAATGGTAATGAACCAATTAGCTCCTTTACTAGTCCTTAACTGGTTCTAAAGGCAAGCCTTTCCCACTTCTGACACTTAAAATTACAAGGACTGTTGCAGGGTAACTTTTGTTGATTGTACCCCAAATGTTTTTCTTTGATCATCCCTAAAAAATGTAATCAAAATAATTAATATATTAAATTCTTTTTATATTTATTGTTTCATTACTTTTTTTACAACTTAATTTGCAAATACATATTATGACAATACCATCACTATTTATTTTGATATTTTTATTGTTAAAATATGTCTTCCACAAATTTTTGTCTGCATATAAAATTTTCGACCATCGCAGTAAAGTTACAGAATAATCATGATTTCAATACAAATTTTAATATTTTTTTTAAATATATCTGCGTGCCAATAAATATTTCGTTTGCATGACTTGAGTAGATAATGAAATAAGTCCCACCTATATATAGTAAAAACTATAAAAAAAATAAGGTAGAAGTGTAAACACAAATCATCTGTTTGCCTACAAATATCATAAGATCTTTTTTATCTTCACTTTAAGATCAATCAAAAGAGGGAAGCGAAAAAATGAAAACAATTCAAAATATATTTTTGAACCGTTTATTCCACACCCTATGCGAGCACAGCCCTACTGCTTTGCTGTAGGAACAAAGCAATTGCTGATTTAGGTGGTACATAGCTATTAGACAAAAATTTGATACTTTCACTAATTGATCGATTTACATATCACAATTTATATTATTAAGTCATTATGGTGATGGAGGATAAAAAGTTGTTTTTGTTTAATAAATCTAGAATGCTACAAAAGTGAACTTGAAATCACACCATCACCTATTGAGGAACCCACAACGAAAAAATCTGGTTTCTTTAGCGGCGTTAAAAATTTCTTCCGTGGTTCCCCGTCTACCACCGCTATACCAACAGTTCAAATCACTACACCTAACACACCAGGGTTATCTAACACAAATTTTGCTTCACCTGCACTTAGTAATAGTGGTCCAACTGCTAACTTCAAACCACCACCATTGACAATATCTCATGCACCGTTAATGCCATTAGGACCACGACCAGATACTCCTTTATCTTCACCATACGGAGGTAATCCACAACAAGCACCACAATGGCCACAACTTCAAACAACCACAACAGTACGCCCTGTACAAATTGATTCAACACAAATTTCGCAAAATGCACAAACAAGTAACGCAAATTTTGGTGGTGGACAACGTGTAACACAGCCTGGACTACCACCAGGTTTCGCACCATATCGTCCTCCAAAGCAACAACCCTCAGGACTAGATCTTAGCTATGGGAACGCAGCTTTAGCTGGTGGTCATTATCAACATAGTAACAAAGGGTCAAATTCTGGCTTGGCACATTTCACTAGTAGTACTACAACAACTACATCGAAATCTGTGCTACCACAATCTTTTACCAGCACTACTACAGAACGTTCTCTAAAAACTAAGGAAGACTTTCCTGCTCTTCCAGCACCACGTCGACCATCAGCAGGAGCTAAAGAAGATTTTCCACTCTTACCAACGCCAAAATCATCTATTTCTATTCCATATTCACCTCATGGATCACCATCACCTTGGAGCTCATCAATTCCTCCAAATGATTCCAACATTTCTATTAAACAACCCACTACTCCTCGATCACCAATGCAACCAAGTTCTCCAAGTCCATCTCCTACTCCAAATAGAGTCGCATTCGTACCCCATGCTCCAAGTACAGGCACAACAACAACAGTACGACCAGGAATGACAAATTCAGATAAATCACTTGCCACAGACGATGAACTTCGTGCATTCTCAGAAAATCTATACGCTAAGGAGGTTAATAGTCAATTGACTTTAATTCGTATCAATCCACAAGGAAAAACTCGTTCAATTGATTCTACTGACGAAGCACCGCTACCGTAAGTCTTATTTTACATATGTATATTCTCTTAATATAATCAAATTGAATGGTTTTTTTAAAGCTTACTGGATGTTGACGCAAAAGCTTTCGATATACCAACAATTGCTAAAATGCGTCTTTTGTTTAACAATTATGAAATGGACACAATGGTTAATGAGCACGTGTCGCCAAATGAACATAAGGAAGAGAACGACTTTTTGGATGCAGTAATGGCCACATCTGTTATGCGTCAAGCTATGCAGTTTTTACAAACCAAAGGTTTGTTTTTCATTTATTAACACAATTTTTTTCTTATTTTTAACCATTTCTTGAATCTTATAGGTCTCGTTTCACCTGACCCAAAAACACACCGTGATCTTGTGAAGGAGCTCTGGTTCACACAATATTCGAGAGGAAATGGTAAAATTGGCAGTTCTGGCTTTGAGCATGTATTCGTTAACGAAGTAAAAAATGGTACCATTATTGGACTGCATAACTGGGTATATTTTTATGACGAGGAAAAGGCTGGTCACCTGAATTACAAAGGATATTTAAACCAGCTAGATTTAGGATCGGTAAGTAATTAAATTTTTCAAATAAAAAATTTAATTTTTATTTCAATTGTTTTTAATTTAGAAAGGAAAAGTTCTCAAAGTGCGTTTTACTCACAACGGATTGAATAAGCCAGTTAACACGCTTTTTGTCGGAACTTCTCCTGAACTTGAATTAGCATTGTACACTGTTTGCTTTCAACTTCGACCAGACAGAACTTGTCCTGTGTCTTTAGGAAATAATAAATTTGGTATTGTCACATACTCCTGGCGATACAGAGGAAAGAGCTTGATTGGCAGTGCTTATCCGGAGATTTAATTTCAATATTTATTACAACCAAAATTTTTATTTTAAACTTATCATGTTTTAACTTTTGAGAATCTTAATTCAATGAATCTGAGATCAAGTCGTAAAAAATTTTTATTAAAAAATTATTTTTTAATATATAAAGACACAAAAAAGTAATTCTCAACGTCGTTTGCTAAAAAATCTAAGTCAGACATTAAAAATCTGTTCACTATAAAGTGGATGGAAACATTAGGCACGTCAGTAACTTTAACTACAAGTGCAGTAGGGTCACTACAAAAATCAATGGAGTTAAAGTTAATAAAGTGATTCGATACCAAAAAAGAAAACGTGCAATCCTACCAGTACATTCGAACATTTTTTTATAAATGTTTAACCCTAATCATTGACATAGTGTCAAATGACTATATTATAGTCGACACATTTGAGGAAAATAATAATTCATTGTGAGTTGTTGGTAGCGGACTGTTCTTGCCAAAAGATGTGAAGTTGTTCAGTACTTGAGGATGATAATAGAGTTGTGGTCCACTGAGGGTTATGTATGATGTAAGAATTTTAAGTAATATTGTATTAAAGTTTCGCAGTTAAGTACAAATGAATTTTATTTTTATATCCTCTTCATTTAATTTTTATTTTAATTTTCTATTGATAAAATTAATATTAAAAATCAAAATCAAACTCAAAAATCAACTAAAACTTTATTCTTAGAAATGTCCATACCTGTTGCATCGCGTATTAAATCAAGAGATAAGTGCATAATTTTTAGAAGAAAGAAACAATATAAACAATATAAAGGATTACACTAAAAGAAATCGAGATAAACAAGTTGAAACTACTACGGAAGAGTCAACGAAGAGAGACCGAAGTGAAAATGGTCTTCTTTGGAGCAGTATCCAAATTAAATTTATTCTGTACTGTAAAGAGACACCTTTTAATTAATATGCTGTTTTGTCTCTGGTGGGAGATATTCACAGAATGTTTATGAACATGATGACAGAGTGGTCACAGAGATTTATTAAGCGTGACAGCATTGTAAAACCAATTTAACATTAAGAATTAAAGAATTAAAGTAAAAGGCAAGAGACTTTGAATAAAAGTTCACATGTCATCAGACTTACATAGTATATAAAAACACCAGACTAATGCAACAGTAAAATATTCTGGGATTGGTATGCTTCACAATCGAATTTATTTTATTATATATTAATCAAGTTTCAATCAAAAATGAGTCTGAAATTCATATTATGGTGTATCAGTTCAAAATTATTTTCCTTTAGTTATGTGTACCAATCCAGACAAATAATATACAGATACCGAATGCAGAACAAAAAAATGACTCCCATTGATTTCATAAGCGTAACATATAACACAATGATTTTATTTCTTCAAAACATACAAAAGAGCTGTTGAATGTGCGTATGAGGTGGTGTGTGGTATAGTAAAGGTATATTGTTAGTTTCTGTGCTTCTGTGATTTATATGGCGACGATTTTCGGATTTGCCTTCTTATGCTTTCTAAGTTTTACTGCATTCAGACGAAAGGGCAATCAGTGAAGTGCAATTTTATGTTTTAATATTCACAAAATTTTGTTTCTTTTGGATCAAGAAGAAATAGAGATGAAAAGACGTTTAATGGTAGTCAGACACGTAGAAGGGTTTTTTGGTGTTGAATGGACACATAAATACAAACGCATAGTCTTTGCTTTTGTATACATGTTTCTTAAAATAGGTCTGTTCCACGAGCTACTCGTAGTAAATGTCAAGTAAAACACAAGTAAAGTACAAACTGAGAGTGTAACACAAATAAAGTGCCAAATTACGCTGATTACACAGATTTTCATGGAACAGCTTTGTGTAAAATCTGGTGAAAACATCATTGCCGCACAAATAAACTATACAAAAATTTAAATTCAAACCAAAACAACAACACAAATTTTATTTGAAATAAAATGTACGAGTAAAGTCTGTGTAGCATTTTCAAATTTCGACAGGGATGTTACGCTCTCTCAGATGCTCTCATTTACTCGAAAATTTGCTGGCGGAACGCATTTGTGTATACACAGTGTTACTCAGAGTTACTACGAGTAGCTCGTGGAACAGACCTAATATATGATTGACTTTCAGTCATTGCATTTCATGCAATGCACAAGTTCTTCCGAATTATTATAAATATGATTTTTGATGAACTTTTATACTGATATAACTTTTATACAAATATATGAGGTTTGCCTATTATGAGGTGAGTAAACACCGGCAGTAGCGCAACCCTAGTTGCTGTTAGTGCAAATTAATAATAATAAGAAGTTGAACGTGTATTTAATTATTTATATATTAAAATATAAAACATAAATAGATATTTAACAACATGATGTTTATTAACATACTTTATGATGTATGGCTAGTACAGGTCATAGTACTGTCTTCATTGCCGTACATATTAATACCGTTTGCACTAACAACAACTATGGTTGGGCTACTGCCGGTGTTTACTCACCTCATAATAGGCAAACCTCATATATTTGCATGAGACCAGTATAAAATTTCATCAGAAATCAAATTTATAATAATTTGGAAAAAGTTGTGCATTGCATGCACACAAAGTCAAACATATATTTTAGAAAAAATTTGTACAAAAAGCAAAGACTATTTCTTTGAATTTGTGTGTCCATTCAACACTAAACAACGCTTCTTCGTGTTTAACTACAATTGAACGCCCCTTCCTCTCTATTTCCTCTTAACCCAAAAGAAACCAAATTTTGTAAATATGGAAACAAAAATTTGCACTTCACTGATTCCCCTTTCGTCTTGATGCAGCAAAACTATCGAAGCATAAGTTCGCAAAATAGAAAATTGTCAACATATAAATCACACAAGCACCCAAACAAGCAATATGAGTAGAAAATGTAGCAACAATTTCTATACTATATCACACACATTCTCATATGCACATTCAACAGCTCTTTCGTATGTTTCGAACACTTAAGATCATTGTGTTATACAAAGCTTTTGTTTGTCTTAATTGTTCTACAATTTAAAGCTGATTGTGTTTTCAGCTGACTACTCGAGCTGGCTACCTCTCAAAGGGGTTCTGCATTCCCAATCTGTATATTATTTGTCTGTGCTAAACATAATACAAATAAATTTGGTTTGTGTTTATAATGCAAACATAAATCTCATATTTAGGTTTGTGTAATAATGCAAAATTAAAACGATTTACGAAAATTTGCTTTCATAAAATTTGGAAAAGGTTTTTGTATTGACTACCAGTTGTTACCAAACTGTGAAAACTTTAAAAAATTTAAATGCAACACTGCGTTTTTTACTTGTTTTATATACGAAATATTTGTAAACAAAAATAATAAGTGTTATAAAATATCGCAAGTTGCTCTTACACTTTTAAAGCTTTTCCCCAGGTTGACCATCTCGAGGCTAGGAACATACAATTACTTTAGCCAATGCAATCCACACAATGTAAAATTTATTATTGCCGAAAACATAGAAATATGCAGACATTTAATTTGCCTCTGTTAAAAAAATCAGAAATATAGAAATAGAAATATGAAGACATATAATTTGCCTCTGTTAAAAAAATTATGAACTCTGAAAAGGGTACATACCAAAAACATAGATAGCAAAAACATGTGATTTGCCTCTGTTGAAAAAATCATAAATGCTAAAAAAGTATACGCAATACAAAAAACATTTTTTTTAACAGAGGCAAATAACATGTCTTATATTTCTCAGTTTTTGGTATGTACCTTTTCAGAATTCATAATTTTTTTAGCAGAGGCAAATTACATGACTGTATTTTTATTTTTTTAATTCTGTTCTTTCTTTCTTTAGCAGAAATGTAATAATTTCTGTTAATATAACACAAACAAAATCTATATGATAGATTGCGTTGGTCGTCGATCCTCCGGTTCACTTTAAAAAGCTGAAAGCAACATCTTATTACATTTATCAGTTTTAATTATTTTTGCATCTTATATTTATTATTTTTATTCATATTTATTATTTCCGCGTTAATATACATAATTACGTATGGCTTTTGGTTTAGATGTTTTTATCTTTTAAAAGTACAGTATTTGTAACTGCATGGAAATCTTAATGATACTGTACAAGTTTTCCATTCGTGATTATAAAAATTTGTACCAATGACAGAAACCCTACATATGCAAGTTATGTTGCCAAAAACCGTATCATGCAACGATGTCAAAGATCGTAATATTATACAGACATCAAAGACCGTAATTATATATGGTCGCCATAGATCGTATCGTTATAAGGATGCCAAAGACCGTATTAATAAAAAGACGTTTTTTATCTACATACATACATATTGCATGTTATCGCAAGCTCTCACTTTGTAGAGTTAAATGTAAAATGTAAAACGAAATTATTTGTAAGAGAAAATAATAGAGAATAAGATAGGTTTTAAGCAAAAATAATAAATAATAATATTTAATATATTATTTTTTAGTATTTTTGTTTTGTTTTAATACCTTTAATATATTTGATGTATTTTGTAGTAATGTTGTAATATTATTAATATGTTAAACATCCTTAATTGTTTATGGTTTATTGTTTAGTGGTTTGCTTACTTAGTAAATATACATTGTAATAGCTATATATACATATATTTTTGGGGTATGCTTAAAATATTATATTTGCCATCAACAGTTCTTAAGGATTAGGGAATGGGGTTATTGACCTTAGCCTCACTCGCGGGTGTTTGGCAGTTGGTAGAACGCCTAAGGTTGATCACTAATACCAAGGTCTGTTGGTGTTAGGGTTGAACAGGAAATAAAGCTCAGGCCAGACTATGCGCGGCCTTAGGTTTGTTTCTGAAATATGGTACTTGACCATTTTTATCGTTCAGTGAGAGCGGTGAAGGGGTTTTCAATTTTTTACAAAAAATTGATCTGCTTAAAGCAGTAAAAATTAGCAACAATTTGCTTTGCCTAGAAAAGCCGTCATATAAACAATTATTACAAATGTATGTTGTGATCTTACTTTCAGAATTGTATTAATTTCTGTTAAAATCATAACAAAATATACGGTGTTTAGAAAATGTGGATTGTGTTCATTGGACACTTAATGT